GCTGCGGCCAGTTTAAAGCGATTGAATTATTTAAAAGCTGCCGTCGGAAAATCGATCGGATAAAAATACACGGGGCCATTTCAGCCGTTTCCCTCGTTGTAGTAGTGGTAGTAGTAGTGGTGTGGCTGTTGCTGCTTTTCTGGCCCGTCATAACGACCGGAGCGGAGAGAAATAAAGAAAGAGAGAGAGAGAGAGAGAGGAAAAGGCGCCAGGGGTGAGGGGTTTTTCTAAATACTCGAAGCTACTCTGCCGCGACGGCTGTGCATTATATATAATATACACTTGATAATGTGTATTCTGGCAGCTGCGGAGCGAAGAAACACACACAAAACAACATCAACAACAAGAACGAAAAGAAGAAAAATCGAGTAATTGAAAAATCCTTTGACTGCAGTTACAGCGACTGAGAGGCTGTGCGAGAAGCTGAATGTGTACGCATACAAGAGAGAGAGAGCTAGCTGGCAGTAGTAGTAGTCAACGGTGGCGGCGACGTCGGCAGCGGCGTCGGCGGTTGAGCTCGCATAATTACTCGATCGTTACCCCCATCGCTGCGCTGCCTGTTCCACAGGGGGGGTATAGAGAGGGAAGTTGCACACGGGGGAGGGTGGTGGTTGTGTGTAGAGGGATATATATATATATATATATATAGCTAGAGCATAGTAGTATAGAGGCGCAAGCGACGCACAATGCAAGATGCGACTCTCTCGCTCGCTCGTTCAGCAGCAGCAGCAGCAGCAGCAGCAGCCAACACAGCCAACACAGCCAGCATCCATGAAGCAGCAGCGGTAGTAGTACTATATAGTGGTATATAGTGGAGAGAGAGAGAGAGAGAGAGAGCAGCGCGCGCGATAATCTCGAAATCAATAGACTGGCGCATGCCCCGATTTTGCGCAAACACATACACACACGCACACAAACTCGTATATATGTGCAGCCTGCATACGCATATATACGAATACGGGGCTTTCGCATACAAAAACACGACGACGATGCGGGGCAGGAGGAGGACGAGGCGCGAATCCGCACAGTTGCTCTCTCGCGCGCGCTCGCTGTGTTATACCTGGCACGAAATTTCTGATGAAAGATCGTCGAGAGCCCCGCGCGGCGATGATTACGTCGTGTGTTGTGTGTACGCTGCGACGCGCGCACCACCACTACGACGGTCCACCAATTGTGCGCGTGTATCGCTCGTTTAGCAGTCGGGCCAACGAATTTCATTTTTTTTTTTGTTACTCTATGTACACACACACACACACACAACCAAACCAGGATTGCTTGGGGATTTAATGGACGGCAAAACTGGATTAACCGGTGTGCACTCCCCCTTCCCTCCTTCGCTACACACGCGAATATTTGTCGCTCTCGCGTTCGCTAGTTCTCTCTCTCTCTCTCTCATTGGTCCAGGATTTTGTTATTCTCGCAGTTTCGCGGCTCTGTATATTTATCGAACGGGGAGCTTGCATCTCGTCAAACTCGACCGTTTTTAAACTTTCCGCGTATAAAACGCACTGAAAATGTCATATTAATTAAGTTTCGGGAACAGGGGCGGGGGGCGCTGCGTACGATCACTTTCAGCGAGGCCAACTGCGTTATACAACTCGAATATATATACGTATAATACAAGAGTTATATACGCGTGCGGCAGCAGAAATCAAATTAATCCTGTTTACAGTAAATGAAATTTGAACTTTGAATGCGCTTGTTCCGCGTAAGCTGTGTGCAGCGCACCCCTTCTGTATGATAGCGCATCTATCTTTCAAACACAATTTTCGTGTCTTGGTGGAGGCGAGCGAGTAAAAAAAAAAAAAAACAATAATAAAAATCACGTTATTTCGTGCTGCCTCGTGATCCCTCTATACTATACGTACAGAGAGCAAAAAAATGTGCGCGCTTCCTCTTTGATCCTGTCTCTTCCTTAAAAGCCGGTAAATAAATGAAAGATACGGCTATCCGGCAGCCAGAGCTAGCTAGCTAGCTTCGTGCTTCGTGCCGCGCGCGCGCGAGCGTCCGTAAAAGCGAATCAATTCGATTGCCCTGGGTTAGCGTGAGCGTGAACGCGAGTTCCTTTTCTCTCTCTCTCTCTCTCTCGTTCTCTTTCTACTACGGCCCCTATCTTTTCCGCACCTTTAACCGTAAAGAGAGCAACAAGTGCCCACCGCTAGTAGCACCACCCCCGCACAGTAGTATAGTGGTACACCGGCTGTAGTAGCTCCTCGGCTGGCTCTGCAGCAGCAGCACACGTCTTAAAGAAACTGCTTCTACTGTTACTGACTTTAAATTTGCCGTGTCATTCATTGCCTCATGAATATATTCCTCGCGCCTTCGGGGGGCGCGCGACGGCTTTTGTTTCGCGCCGAGCGACGCGAAACGTGTATATATGTTTCAACTTCGACGCCGTGAAACATCTCTTTTTTGCGTAAAAGAGATACATCGCGTTACGCGTCGATGAGATATATTTTTTTCCCCCGCGAGACACGTGAGAGATTCAATTGTATCGCAGTAAAGTGGGAACAAAAAATCTGTTTTTTTAATGAACGAGCATCGCGCGTTAAGTACCGGGGAAGGCAGGAGAATATTGAAAAGAAGTGGACGAGCTCCCGGTTAAGGGCTATGAAATATGATTGTTAATCTTGTTAAATGTACTTAGGAGCTTTGCAGCAGCAGCAGCGAAGGGCTTTGCGCATTATACAACGGCATGACTTATACGACACAGTTTCAAACGCGAGCTTTTTTTCTTTTTTTTAAAAAAGAGAGCGAGGGAAAAGTAATATTTTTACGCTTACTTATTTTAGTTTTATTCAAAAGAATTCCGTTGAAAAATAAAGTCCAGTAAAGTTACTGTACGATCGCAATGCGCAGCATCGTAAGATATTCCACCGGGGCCCAACCCCCCCCGAAAATCCATTTGGCTAGCTGCTCCGACACTTACGTTTATCTGCTCGAACCAAGCCACCCAGTCGTCAGCTTTCCACACACACACACACACACTCGCGCGCTCGAAAGTATGATGAATGGCGCGCGAAAGAAGAAGGTTTTTCATATATAATATAAAACGCGGCACAAAAGGTAAAAATGAAAATCGTCGTACCCCCGGCGCGTTTCGATAAACGAAGAAAATAAGATTTTCCTCTCTCTCTCTCTCTCTCTCTCTCTATCTTTCTCTCTCCCGGTGACTCGATAAGAAGGTCGTCGCTAGTTGCCTCGGCGCGAGCGAGCGCGCTGTAACGGAGCAACGTCGACGACACGACTAGCGGTGTCTTTTTTTCTCTCTCTCTCTTTTTCTATTTTTTTTTTTTTTTTTTTATGTTATAAAAGAGGACGACGATGCCACTACCCGACAACGTCGTTTTCAAGTGTCGACTTTTCCCTCTGTGCTTCTCTACCTCCTCCTCCTCCTTCTCTTCTGTGCGCACACGAGTCGTGTCTTGTTTATCTTTACGTTCCGTTTAGCTCGTCTCGCAGTCGCAGCGCGTACCCACCATCGCCCGGGCGACAATCTCCGCGGCATTATTTGCACGGAAGTGCCTTTTTCTCTCTCTCTGCTCTCGGCGGCGCTCCACCACGCGCGCCTGATGAATCAAACGCGCGAGCAGCAGCAGCAGCACATTGCACTGCGCTTTTTCGACTCCACTCGAGAGAGAAAAGAAACTCATCGAGCGAATCAGTTTTTTTTTATAGGAATTTTACTTCGCTTTCGACAAATAAAGCTGATTTTTGACTTTTGGTCCAGTAGAGAGATCTTTTCCATTTTCGAGTTTTTTAACTCGAACTTTATATTCTCGCGAGCACGAGTTGTAAAACTTTTTGAAGAGGAGGCTCTTTCGCCCTCGTTCCGTTAAATTTATTCTCACGGTGACCGTGTTCCCATATATATAGCGATCTCAACGATCTCGACAGACCTACCTCCAACTTGTTCTATCGAAAGAGTAACAAAAGTATCAATTTTACGATGCCGTTTTTTTTGCTGTTAGCTCGATCGCTAGATAGGATCGCATCAAAGTCATTTCGACTAATGCGCCGCGCACACGGGTCCGAGAGAGATCGATTTATTCAATGAAGTGCGCAAAGCTCGAAAGCCCATAAATCGTTACCGCCCAGCGCAGCATCGCATCGCATAGCGCGCGGTTGAACATCGATGTACAATGCAGCGCATCTCCTCGAATTAAAAGAGGTGGAGAAGAAGAGAGAGAGAGGAGTCGGAGTGATCTTCAATCCCGTTTACCGAGTCCCACCCGGCGTGCACTCAGTATTATTAAAAAATCTGACACCAGCTTCTACTACTATCGTATCTATCCAGTGGCGGTATACAGGATAAGAGAAAAGAGAGGAAAGACAATGAGCTGCAAGTAGTTTTAACGCGCGTAGAAGAGAGAGAGAGAGAGAGTTTTAGAGCTCGAAGGAGGTAGTCGGGGAAGAGGAAGAAAAGAGCTGAGCGTTCACTTTCACAGATTGCACAGCGCGCCCGTCTTTTTACGGTCTCTCTCTCTCTGTCTGTGTGTGTCCGGCCAACGACTTGCTGCAACGACGACGACGACGACGACCGACCGACGCTTTTATCATGCTACAAACCTATACACACAGACACAGATAGACAGACAGTTACGCGCGCGCGCGCGGTCACACAGACACGAGTACGAAATTTTTTGTGTCCGGCTTTAAGCTTCATTGAGAGCTATTGTATTTTGACTGGGCAAGTGGCTTGAAAAACGTTTTCAAGTAGTAGCGGAGAGAAAGAGAGAAGTTTGCTGCCACCACCGCGCCAAAGAAAAAGAAAGATAGAGAGAAAAATTGTATAAAGCTCGAGAGATTGAAAATAGGTATACAGCGGAACGAGTGAGATGTAATATTACGATACATAAAAACTGTTGCTATCGCTAATTAATGAGGGTTAAAAAAAAAAAAAAATAATTATAAGGAAGTTCTTATACGTAAAATATTATTATCATTATTATCAACGAAGGAAGACGAATGTATAATAATGATGATAACGGTTTACTTACCATGAGCGAGGGCGAGCAGAGTGGCGAGCAGGAGCGCCGGTCTCAAGGGTCGAGCGACGGCCATCCCGATGGCCTGGATCGTTACGTCGATTCAGCTTCCTCCTGAAACAATAGGAGAGAGCGCGCATATAGCCTCGATCAATCAAGCGCCTTTCCTCTCTATATATATGTATATATATGGTATGTCTATCTCTCGGCGTTCCTCCCAGCGGTGGTGTGCCTCGATTCTACTGCCTCCCCCCCCCCCCCCCCCCCCCC